CTCTGCAGAGGAATCTGAACAGGCTGGATTGAACAGCCAAGGCCAGTTGTATAATGGGTTGAAAAAGGCCAAGCACCAGGACTTTCACTTGGGTCACAACAATCCCTTGCAGAGCTACAGGCTCAGGGCAGAGTGGCTGGAAAGGTGTCTGGCAGAAAAGGACTTTGGTATGCCAGTTGGCATTAGCTGATCATCAGCTGACAGCGTGCCAGGAGGCCAAGAAGGCCCATGGCAGCCATGGCATCCTGGCCTGTCTCAGAAATAGAGTGGCCAGCAGGACCAAGGCAGTTCGTTTTGGGTGACCTCAGTGCCCACAGGTATGTCAGAAATCTGTGTGAGCAGGCATTGCTTTGCCAAAAGCATGTGGGTGCATATATATGTATGTATAAGCCCATGTGAGCAGAACCAGGCCAAATTCTATTCGGGAGAGGTGGATTGGGCATAACTGTCAAGGTCTGGGCAGCAGAAGGCAAAGGAGTGACTTGAATTGGAGAAGGCCATGAACTATCCTGTGCCATCACAGGCAGTTCCAGCCAGCTCAACAATCAATCCAAGCTGTGCCAAAACCTCAGCTGGTCAGAGGAACACATGGTGCCTCTGCTCAGACAGATTTAGGAAAGGATAGGAGCTGTCAGATACCCAAAGCGCATGCGAGGAGACCCAAGAGGAAGCACAGAAAGGGACACGTGAACATACAGGAGGAGGGACAGAAAAGGGTGCATTTTGAAGGGCACAGGGGGAGGCACAACTTGCCAGAGGACTGGAGCCCATGGATAAGACTGTGCCAGGGTGGACATGCCCATCAAGAGACAGTGGCCTGTGGAGGACCCCACACCAGGGCAGAGCAATTAGAGCAAGTAAATATTTGGGAAAAACTTGGCCTGGTTCAATTGTTGGTGTTTCATTGAAGTCCCAAGTGTGATCCAGATAGATGAGCAGTCTGTTCTCAGTAGGTGTAATTTAGACAGGGAGTATAAAGAGGCAAGGTGCAATTGTCCAACTGACTCAGTCTGGATGAGTCCAAAAGATTCAACTTCATCAACATCAAAGAATAAGTTCACCTCATAACAACTTAGGCATTTCAGAGATCGGCACTTTAAAATGGTTAAAAGATGTATTGTCTTTTATGACTCTTTTCCATGTAGCCACACAAAAAAGCCAGACTATTTTGTTATGTGAATTAGCTTGACAATTCAGTTGGGTAAATTATGAAAGAAGTCTTTGCATCACATTCTGCATACCTGAATTCCTATAATACAGTTGCTCATTAAAGCATATACTCTGTCTGAAAATTTCAATTTTTTTCAGTTTAATGAAATTTTTGTTTTACTAATTCAGTTCTCTATGGCTGTAAACACTGCATATATTAGTATTGAATATAGTTTAAATCAAAATGCTGTTTAATTACCTAAAGTTTTGCTTTATTTCAAAGAAAGGTAGTTAGTTCAATATATAGGAAAATGAATGTGTAATTACTATGATGTTACAAAGATGAATGAGCTGAGGGCATTACAATAATATTATGGGGACACATTCCAAAAGACACTAGTTGAAAGAACTTTGTGTCATTAACTTTATTGGGAGCCCTTCCAAAAGACTCCAGTTGAAAGAACTCATGCCATTAATATATTTGGGAGTCATTCCAAAAAACAGTAGTTGGAAAATGTTTTTGTAGGTTGATTTATTTGTTGGTTGAAGCAGATAAGTTAACACTTTTTGGTATTAGATGCTAGATTTTGACAGAAATTCACTCTACTAATGGCTCTTGTAAAGGGAGGTAGGACTTCCTGGATTAATGTTCATTAAATGTTGAAGTTAACCTCTTGAAATCAGGTAATTTTTCTCCTCTCTTCTCCAAACCCATTTAAATATTTTTTTTTATGGCATGAACACAAACATTTATTTTCTTGATTCTTCACAGCTCAGCTTTTCTATATTCTCTCTCTCTTGTATTTATCACTGACATGTATTGCTACTATTACTTTTTCATTTGAAGCACGATTTTTCTGCCACAACAGATCATCCTGCACACAAGTTCTCAAATTTTTTTAATTTACTGGTCAGTGCTTCTGTACTGATAGTAGTTTGAAATGCTTACTTGTCTTCTTCCACTTCATGACTGCCTGAAAAAAGGATATTTTCTGTAGTACATAGACTGAATCCAGTGCTAGGAAATTTTCTGTACTCTTACATAATGAGGGAGATAGCTTGCATATTATGCTGAGTAATATTGTGTCACAGCTCCACCTTATTTTCATATCTTTTAATGCCCCTATCTCAGTTCTTTTCTCAGATAATTTTGGGACAGGACTTGTGTTTTTTGTGCTTTTGGAAGAGCACTGAATATAGAGGAGTCCTGGCCACTGCTTAATTCCAAATTGTGTCTTATCTTTGTAGCAATGGAGAACAAGGTCTTCCACATATCTTTACTGTTGCGTTTCACATTCCAGTCTCAGTCTATTGATCTTCCTGGCTACATGCATGCTGTTTACCATCCAGTATTCCTTGTGGGGTTCTGTTGGAAGGGCTGAAGCCTAAAGAGTTTACTTATGAAAAAAAAGTGCAAGCATGAACTGGAAAACAGTGAATGCCAGAGTTTTGTTCCTATATAAAACATAAAAATAAATCCTGGCAGATCTGGTTTCTTCAGCCTGGAGGCTTCATGGCCTTGTGTGCCCTTCCTGATTCTCATGCTATAGACCAAAACAACATGCCTTAACCTTGGCAACGTGCTACAAAACATTCCTGTACTAGATTGTGAGACACTTGTCTTGTTAGTGTCCATTGCTGAACAGAATGGTGCCAAACAGCATTTAAAGAAGCAGCAGATGGAGCCAAGAGGAGATCAACACTCATGGTTTCACCACTTCAAATTCAGAAAACATCATGAAGCCAAAAAAAAGAAGCTGGAATTTGAGGGAAGTTTCAGTCTTTCTGAAATATGCACGACATCTTGGACGGAGAATTAGCTATGGAACATATCTGTGAAACCATGTGCTCAGGCCACACCCCATACAGAGGTGCTAGAGTCCAAGGGATAGGTGTGTGTCCCAGCATCTCCAGACTACCCAAGGCTCAGCTGTGCAACATCCCGCAGGATTAGTCTCCAGATGGTGGTAACCACGGGATTAACTGGAAAAGCGCACAGTCAGGACATTTATGAATCTCCTCACTGATCATCAGTGCTCTGCAGGATCAGGAAGTGATGCCTCTAGTTATTCACAGAGTTTTAGGTCTTAGCACAGGGAAATCTGTGGAAAAGTATCCTTTTAGTGTCATATATACACAGTGGGAAGGTGCACTTACTGCTTCAGGAAGGCCAAGAGCCTAAAACAGAGAGGACAGAAGAAGGGTCTTACCTTATCTTTCCTCTGAGTTGGCTGAGTGAACTTTGTCCAAACCATTGAGGGGTGGACAGCTCCCCAGGGCCACTTCCTATCCATGACAGAAAGGTTCTGATGATACCATGTTGCTGCTGCAGGGCACAAAGGAACTCCCCCTGAAGGACCTTACATGCTCCTATTCCTAACTTTAAGATTTGGAGTGCTTTGAACATCCCAAGTCTAAAATATAATGCTGCCATTAGAGCACACCTCTCATCAAGAACTGTTACTCAAAAACAGAGTCAGTGTTTGCCCTCCTGACAAAATGAGATAAAGAGTTGTGTTACCATCAAAACAGCCTTGTCTGAGAGCATTGGAGACAAGAGGGGTCCACCTTGCCAAGGTCTGCTCATCCTCTGCTAGACATCTTTCCTCCAGCAAAGGGGATGTGAACAAACCTGAAATATTCTTCCCAGTCAAAAGCATAACACTGTCAATAAGAAATCAGGAGCCACACCAATGGACAAATTACTTAACAGGTCTAAGTCTCTAATAAGAGACTAAATGCCTGTCTCATACAGAGAACTGGAGATATTTAAAACCCAAGTGGACAAGTCCTGAGCAACCTGATCTAAGGTGACACTGCTTCAAGCAGAGAGTTATATCAAAGAACATCAAGAGGTCTCTTTCAGCTCAAATTATTCTTTGATTCAGTGATTCTAACATACATCTATGTTAGAATATCATTACATTCACATGTAGGAGAAAAAATAATCACCTAACTTAGAAGACCAATGTACAATTAAAATTAAATCATTGCTAGTGATTGTGATACTATGATATAAAGCTTGAAAGTCCTTCAGAGGCTGAACATGCCACCTTTCTGCCTTCACTACATATGTGAAAAATAGAATACATATAATAAATAGCATGGAGTAATTTTCAAATTACGTTTTATGTACAGCATAAATCATTCACTATACAAGATACATTATGACAAATAATATGTGTAGCATGAGACCACAATTTTTAAATGACAGTCTACATCTTGGACTAAATTTCAAAGAAGAATGCACTTATCTGTAGACTTACACATGAAACCCTGTTCTGCAGTCTGCCTTTCAAGACTAAATAGTGCAACAATATGTATCTAAACACAAGAGCACATATAAAAAAAACCAATTTTGTCTCATCCAATACAGAGAAAAATCCTGCTTCCCTTTGTCATCACAGTCTCTGACTCTCTATTCTCTCCCTCAAAGTTTGATTTTTGAAATGCATTGATTTTGAAATTTGGTATGCATATACTGTACAGACCTAATAGAAGCACATACCGTGCCTTAAGAACCACTAAGAAACATATAATTTACCACACTTATGTAAATATACAATCAGAGAAAATAACAGGACCACAGAAATTAGAAACAGCATACAAAGGACAGACAAAGGGCAGCAGAAAAGATGAACATACAAGAACAGCAAACAACGTGGTAGTAGCAAATATTATCTCTGCTAGCATTGCTATTATTTACTTTATTTGTTCCTTAAATCTCTTCAGTGGAGTTCTGAGAGGAATTAGATAGGTGAAAAAAAAAAACAGGATAGGAGTAAATCTGTGAGAGCAAATAGCTGATCTCTATGGACAACAGGCTATATGGAATTAAGACAGTAGAAATAAGCTTTTAAAGTCATCACAGCTTTCAGCTTCCACAGTTTCTGCCTTGACTCTGTCAGCTTTACTGTTTGGCTGGCTCAGGTCTGTTGCTTCTTTAGTAGATTTTAAAACCTGTATGGTGAAGAAAGGAAACATTTAAGCTGTGTCCAATTTACCATCAGTGATGTGGTCCCAGATGTCCACATGATGGTCTGTTTGAGCAGAGTAACTTCTGCCCAGTCTTCATTCCTAGCTTTCACTGTAAGCCAGGAAAGCTGCGCCTCTCCATCACCCCAGTCATAGATGCACTTCTAAGCCTGATCATCTAGACATAGCCTTAGTGATTCCCAGTCCATACTTCTCAGTTTGGAAAGTTATACAGCTTTACAGAAAAATCTTTAAGCATCATTTGCCTATGCAGAGTATACATCAAGGCTGAGTACTAGCTGAGGATGAGGCTTTTAAAAAATAACAAATGCAATTAGCAGAGGGTGGTCTCACCAATACTGTAAGAGGGAATTTCAGACTCAGATGGAATTTTAGATAGAAAAAGGAACATTTTTTGCACTCCTGCTTTTATAAAAGACCGTACAGGTTATTTAAGGACTGAAAAAAACTATGAAAACCAGAAATGCTTTATATTGGCTCAGCTGAACAGAGATATTGAGCAAACTTTCAAGATGTGTTGTATATGCCAGAAGAATAAGCCAAGTCAAGCAAAAGAGCCCCTATTGGTGGCACAGAAAAAATTGTTCCCTTGGAGCAACATCGGCTTAGATTTGTTTAGATTGGCCAAGAAAATAAATGCCCTTTTTTTCTGGACTAGGTTTACTAAGAAGCTGTATTTTGCAAGTTTGGGTATAGACAAGTTACTGCTAGTATGCCCTTGGTTGTAATCCAAGTGACTTTTGAAAAATTTACTACAAATAAAATACAGGATATTACCACTAAATACAGGTTGTCACCTGTAGGTATTTGTTTTAATAGACAGGGAGAATTCTAACACTTTTGCTGATGACAGAAGTCGATGTCAGAGTTTTGTGGAAGTACAGCTATAATGCAATATGATCAATCACCTGACTCAAAGCACTGTATATGCACATGATGGAAATTAGTGAACAGAACACTAAGGAGATGGAGGAGCACAAAGTCCAAGAAAAGTGCCTCATGCCATTCACTCTATTCATATGATGATTGACCAAATTTCCCCAATTTCCCACCTTTTCCTACTTACACTGTGGCTAGACAGAGATAGACTATGATCCTGCTGTTCCACATGCTTATGAGAATGACATCAGTAGACAGATGCTGCTGCCTCCAGTTTCAGGAGAGGATGTAGGAATCATCCAGTGCTTTTTCTCTTCTAGTCATGCTTAGGCAGAAGTTACAGCAGATAAGACATCTAAACCCCAGGTTCTTAATGCTACCTAAATAAACAACTTACAATTTCCAATTAGCAACAGTTATGATATTTCCAGAGAGACCTGTCAACTCAGAGACTAGTCAAAAATATCTCAGCACATGCTAACCAGTTTATGTAGTAGGTTCATTAAAAGTATTTAGAAGCAAGCCCCATACATGTAGCTTAAGGATTAATATATTAAGCATTTTGGTCAGGATGTTGAGCAGAGAAGATCATGCTCTGCATGCATGGAAGATCTCTTGTCAGGGGATAGAACATAAGGTAATCTTACCCCTGAGGAGGTGCAGCTGTAGCAACTACCAAAGATTAAGAACAAGCCACAGCTGTAACCAAGAAGAGTGTTATAAGAGAGTGGTTGGCTGTGCTGAGGAGGAAATTAGTGTTTGTTGGCTGTGCTGTGAAGAAGGAGTCAGCACTGTGAGGAGCTGCCCCTGAGAAATCATGAAGAAGATATGGAACTTTTGCAACAAGATAGCAACAATCTCTTAGATTTGCCTCTTTGCTGGCACAGAGGGGAAAGTAGGGAAGCTGGAAGAAAGCTAAGCATGGGGACATTTTTTTCTATGTTTTATGTTCATTTCTTGTTGTATATCCATCTAAAAATTCATACTAAACACAAAAATATCATGTAACTGCAACTCCAGTAAAAAGCCTCCTAATCCTGGGAGATATTTGGCCTTGATACCTGGATGGTTCTACAGTGACTGAGATACAACCAAAAGTAATTATCAAGTAATCAGAGCTCTGAAGTTCTTGGACTCAAACTGTGTACTTCAGGAAAGAAGATGCGCATTGTTTCTGATTCTTTGCTTCATATCCTCCCCTTCCTCCTTCTTTCTGCACTCTTTAGCATTGTTTAATCTATTAATCTTTCTGGTTCATCACAAATGCCTGGAGAACTATTTTTCTAGACAAAATACATTTATTTTCCCAGGTTTCTAGGTGAATATTCACATCTCTTTTAGTACAGAAACTTCTAGCAGCTGCCAATAAGGCCTGAGAGAAAGAGTACTGTTGTTAAGTTTTAGCTTGGAAAATAAACTGTGGTGTTTGAAGTCTTACCTCTAAGGAGTTCACCTTGGAAAGTTGTCACTGATCAAAAAGGATCTCTCTCCATTACCACAAACCCCAAGGTTGTCTGGTTTCCCTGTTGACCACAGACTGCTCAACAAAACATGCCACTTCAGCTGGCACCAGCATGCTTACCTCAGACTGGCCTAGGACTAACCTCCTAGAAACATGTCTTGGTTGAAACAGCCCAAAAGAAAGACAGAAAATGAACTAGGAATTAAACTATGTAGACCATGTTGGGTATAGTGCCTGAATTTCCTCAGCTCTCTTCAGCAGCAAGTCTGTCAGCTAGGACAGAACTGAGGAGGTATCTCTGCTAACTGTTTGAGGATTGCTCCTCAGAAAGCTTTGGTTATTCCAAGCTATTATGTGGTGTAGCTGTGCTATTATGTAGCTGTCACACCAGCCTTGCACCACAGCTTACTCCTCTGCATGCAGTGTGTTGCACCGTTCACAGGACATACAATAAAGTCACAGGGAATCTCCTGCAAGTAGTTCCCAGAAGCTGACACGAACACAAATTCCTGAGTCTGGCTGTTAGCAGGGATGTTGCTGACAGTTCTTTGGATTCCTTATGATAAGGGATCTCAAGATGTCAGCCACCCTGCCCAGAGGTGGTTTGGAACCATCCCATTGCATTTGTCTTTCCAGATCCCCTTTCAGATGGTTGGTTTGTTTATCAAGAAAATGTCTCTTTAAGAGTCACCCCTCTTTAAGAGTCACTGTCTCTTCTGCCAAGGCAAGGAAGGGACTGAGCTGCCACCTCAAAGCTTGTGTTATACTCATACTCTTTAGGTTTAATGCAGATTTTAGAAATGCTCCAGCAACTATAGAACATCTAAAGGACTTCTAGCCTGTGACAAAGCATATTCCTGGACCAGAGCTGCTAGAGGTATTATGTTACGTGAATGGTCAGCTGTCAGCTTGTATCCAGTTGTGTTTTGTTTTGGACATGGGAACATAGCCATTTAAAAAAATAAAACCCAAATCACTCTACTGTGCTAGTCATACTTCTTACAGATGTTATTAACTGCCCTCTGTGACAGAAAAATAATTTTCCTCATGCAAATTCTCTTACAAACATGATCTAGAGATGATTTAAAGTAATATTTTTATCACACCTTCAGGCATTACCTTTCTACAACATTTTAGCATATATGAGATGTACTGTCATGTCACAGAATACCATATGCCAATAGCAGAAAAAATAAATTGATGTATGGAGTATGCCTGTTCTGCAAAATTGCTTCAGGTACTGCATAACTTAATACAAACATCCTAAAATGTATAAACACGTACTCATTAAAACCTACCACATAAAATTCAAACAAATGAAAATGAAGTGAGCATGAAAAAAAGGGTTTATGAGCTAAATAAACTACAAGTCACTGTTATTTAGTTTTAACATAGTCTCATTTGTCTAAATGGTACTGAATCAATTACTTTAAGACAAGGCGACTGTACACCAACTGGAAAAGCTCTCTTAATAAATAATTCCACTGCTCTCTACTAAAATGCCACCGTATGCCTGCAAATAGAAGAATTTGGCTTCTACAAGTCAGATCAAAACCCATTATAATCAGCAATCTATTTTTCTGAAAAATTTCTGTTAAATGCTATATAATGTCTAGCTCTTCAGACAGCATTGAAAGTAGTAATTAAATGTGCTTTGATTATAAGGGGAGCTTAGACATGAATTCATTTGCAAGCATTACATTCAGACATCTACAGTCTGGTACTAAATCCCACTCCTAAATGGTTTAAGTGGTGAAAACCTGAGATTACAGGATTTGATCCAAACACTTAACTACAACAGGGCATCACACTGGGCCTCCTCCTTCTATCAGGGAAGAGCACAGGCCTCCCACATATTCTGGTACTTTATCTACCAGTCTCATGTGTATGGCTCAAGATACCTTATGGAACGGGCAAGTGTTTAGAGAATTGAACTGGTTCCCACATTTCAGTTTCGAGATGTCATGAACAGATGTCTGCTTCTCTCTACTGAGTATACAGAAAGAATGGCAGGTAGCTCAGGTATCAAAGCTGAGCAGAAGAATCCCACAGCCCATGAGGAGAGCGTGATGTGATGCTGACTTAACAGTAGCTGGAGAATGAACTCTTCCCATTTGAAAAATCCTGAAGAGATGTTCACTATGTGAAGTTCAGCCCAGTCTTTGTGCATATCCAGAGACAGAGGAGCTATCTTAAAAATGCATTGAGAAGATCATCTTGAAAACAGGGAAAGTAACAATGTCATTTCCTATCTGTGGCTCAACTTGGAGAGAGAAAACTCTTTTTAATACCAAGCTTACAGTTTCTAGCTACATTTCAGTGTTTCCATGTGTCAGTAGTGATTGATTACCAACTCACAAAAGCTCCTGTACTGCTGTTTACCCTTCATCTTTTCCTCAGGCTCACAGCATGACTGGTGCAGGTACTCTCCACGTATAATCTCACCCCAAAGAATCTGGTCTTGGTCCAGGGCAAGATGGAACCTGCAACTTCCAAAACTCCAGTCTATCAATAAAGATTATGTATTTCAGAAGGAAATTAATTTTCTGGGGAATTAATGTTAGAACACACCCAAAAACTCCACAACAACAAACAGCAAGATGTGTCATAAGAAATTTCATGTAAAGAAGTTGTTCTTCCTAAGATGGGTTTTGTGGTGTGTTATATCAGGAAGAAAAGGTAAACAAGGATGGGGAAATCATGTATGTTTGTATACACTGAAAGTAGCTCAAAGCTTCTTTACCTTCATGGAGAAACAATGTGAAAACCAAAGTAAATGGACTGGAAAATTGTGGGTTACACAGTAAAGACCATCATTTTATTTTAAAAAAATCAGAACAAAAATCACTGTTCCAGTAGATAATTAACATGTTGTTTTAAACTCCAGGAAAGATGGTATTAGACATTTCTTTTGCATCTTGACACCTTTTCCAGGCTAAGTGTTTTTTAAATTTCCTTTACCTAAGTGCCAAGAGTTTCCATTTTCTACAGCCAGTCTCCTAGAGAAGAGCTAAAATTCCAGCACTGTCTTTGCTCTAAAAATCACAGTCCTCATTCTTTCCTACCATACTGAAAAACCTATTGTTTTTAATTACTCCAAGTCAAACCTCAAGGGCCATTCTCCCACCATGGAGCTATTTTTGGACCGAGAATTTGTTTTGATTTTACTTTTCTGCTTCCTAAAAATTATTCTGTGCAATACTCAGAGTCTTTCAATCCTCTTTTTCCTCTCTAGCAGTATTATGGATGATGCAGAGTATTTCTGCATGTTCTCTCTTTCTCAAATCCTACCAGCTATTGGTTGCATTGAATTCCCTGAGTTTTCAAAGCATATGATAACTGCTACATTTTCCATTTCCTCATCTGGACATCCTTTGTTTGCATTAGATCCAGCATTTTGTCAGGAGTCATCATTTAACATAAAATCTGAATGTACAATAATAGAGCCAGGATTCATTCCCAGTAATTATTAATACTTTGGTGAGGAACTGAGACAGAAGTGTAAAATATCTGATGTTCTAGTCAATGGAGAGAAGTAAATATTTCAGAAAGACTGAGTTACCTTCCTGCTAAGTATTACCCTCTATTGACTAAATAGGAAATGAAATTCCTATTTCAGATACTGTGGTTAGATCCCTGACTTTCATGAGAACACCTCCAAGAAAAAAAAAGATAGAAATTATATTTCTAACATAAAGTATAATTGTGAAGTTAAAGCCAGGAATCTCTTGTGGATGTACTTCTACTTATTTGGCATATATTACAGAAAAAAAAAAAAAAATTAATGTACTGCTATCAGGCTGAGGTACCTAGCTTGATTACTGTGAAGCCTTGAATTTCAAGGTAGCATCTTAAAATCCTTGAAAAAACTCCCTCTAGTAAAAAACAGAATATTACATTGTGTAATTTCCTAGTATACTACTAACATCAATACAAAATTTATACCTCTTTATTGTTGTCGCTCTTCCCCAACAAAATTCTGAAATGGGTAATACTTTTTTTTTTTTGTAAGGGGGTCTAGAAAAAAGAAAAAACAGTTTCAAAAAAACTTTTTTTTTTGTAATGGAGTCTAGTAAAAAGAAAACTCAGTTTCCAGAAAACTTTTTTTTTGTAATAAAGACAAAAGA